TCTCCCTCTCTCTCTCTCTCTCTCACACACACATACACACACACACACAAAATTTCTCTCTCTCTTTCTTTCTCTCCCTCTCTCTCTCCCCCATCTCTCTCTCTCTCTCTCTCTCTCTCTCTCTCTCTCACACACACACACACACACACACACACACACACACACACACATATATATATACACACACGTAAGCATAGCCAACGAGATTGATAGACATAGAGAGATATGATATGAAGAAAGAGAGAAAGACGGTCAGAGAGGGGGTAAGAACACCTACATTTTTATATTCTAAAAGCCAAACCCACCTGGCTGATGAGAAAAGTCCAGGTGATGGCAAACACTACGGTAGTGACCCTAGAATCGTTGCTAGGGGCGTTCCGTGCGGCGTCATTGGAGATCTGTACATGCTCCACGAAGGCGGAGTTGCGCCTGCGCAGACAGCACAGGAGGATGGCGTTAGCCACGCTCACAATCACGATAGGAATGACCACCTGGAAATAAAAGAATCCAAGAAGAGGTGAGTAAGTAAGTAATAATACAGGAGAGGGCGGGGTGGGGGGGAGGTGAAGAGCGGAGACAAGGACACGACAGGTCAGCCAATTATTTTTCTTTTTCGAGGGTTTTTTTGTTTGTTATTTCTGTGGGGGGGGGTGTTTTGTTTTGTTTTGTTTGTTTGGGTCTGTTTGTTTTGGCTGGGCAGGCTTTATTTTGTTTTTTGTTTTTTGGGGGGGGGGTTGTTTTGTCTTGGGGGGGGGGGGTTTGGTGTTTATTTTCATTTTAAATTGGATTATCCAGGATCATGTTTCTGTTGTTTCTGTATGTCCTGTTTTGTCGTTGCAGTTGTTATTGTTGTTGATATTTTTGTTGCTGTTGTTGTTTTTGTTACTGTTGTTGTTATTGTTGTTGTTGTTGTTGTTGTTGTTGTTGTTGTTGCTCGAGTGTTCAGGAGTGTAGGAGGATGCCGGTGATGGATTCAGAAAGAATAAGGTTTCGTGGACCTGAATCTGTCTATTAACCTGTGTGCTTCCATTATGGTAAATCTGTTGATGTTTATAACTTAGTTGAGTATGTAATTAATTCCATTTGCTGCTTCTTGTCTGATAGCTTGCTAAAATTATATTTTTTTCTTTGCCTGTCTGTCTTTTCTACTGGGTTTCTATAATTACCTGTCAAAGATGTCAATCATTCTTTCGTACCAAGATTCCCATTACTCAGAATAACACTACAAAAAAAAGAAGTCCGTACCCTAAGACCTCTTATTTTTTCCTGCTGTTCAAGCATTTAACCACCATTTACCGTCTCTTTGACATGACCTGGTATTTAGTTAATTAACACCATTTTCAGCATCGTAAGGCTTTTCAAAAAGCCAAACCTCCGAATGAAACGAACCGCACCATGACGAGCAAGCCATGTTGACCGAAAGCACCGAAAACCCTCAGCACAACCAACATTCAAAAACACCCCGTAAGAGCCATCTGCACCACAGCCGGGCATCACACCGGCTGAACCAAGGATGTACCCTTGTGTCTCGGTGTTCTTCATTATAAACATAAAGGTGCAACCAAAGATTCTCCACTAGAGCATCTTTAGTACAACGGTTCCGTATTATCTGAGAGCCCCTGTGGAGAAGTGGCTTGCCAGCTTGTTCATCAGCGCGGCAATTGGGTCTGAAATTGACTTAAGATCTGAATCATTTTGGTTATCAGTTTTGTAATTTTTCCTTTCAATGATCGTCGCCTAAACTTGGGACCACGTACTCATTCATCGAAAAGATCTTAGTGTTTTATGACGTTTTCAGAATTAAAAAATAAAATATATTAAAGTGATCGCTATTTTAACTTCTTGCTTTTATATTAGTCATCCCGTCATCTCCCCCCCCCCCCCGACCAGGGATCTGTTATCTGATTATTACAACAGGCCCCCCCCCCCCCCCTCCTTTTTGACCCCACAGAAACAGACAAACGCATTTAATCTCAAACAACAACCACATGCATACTTTAAGGGTATGAATCCAAATCGCCAGCATTGTTTTATTTTTTTAGGCTTACTTTGAAAATTGTAGCAAAATAACCAAAGTAGATGACGAGGAAGTCAATGTTCATAGAAGGTTTTGTCGGTTCGAGTCGAATCCAGCTGTGATTGATGCTCCTCTCCCAGTACATCGTAGGTTCCAACATGATGCATCTGTGGAAACAAAGCAACAAATATGGCCTTTCTTTTTCCTTGATGGTTTCCTTTTGTTAACTAAATATATTCTAGTATAGTATGTATATAAATATATATTATATACAAATGATGTGTAAAGATGCAATTATAAGCGGTGGCGCTTAAATGACCAAAATTGTGTCGATAGTGCCGTAAAACATCTACCCAATCAATCAATCGATCAAAAGCAATTCTAAGCATACTATGATAGACTAAAGGAAATGTAACAGTTTAAATGTATCATGTTACTCACAAATGGGTGGGTTTTATTTTATTCAGCGTAACCACGATATCAGCTGTTCAATTTCGAATCAGAGTAAAAATACAAAAGCCAACTAATTACACAGAGTTTGTTGTGATGGAGAAGAATGCCGTCTACTTCCTTGAAACCTTCAAAAACAGACCAAAAAACTTCTTTCAGGCTAAAGTACTGAAACTGAAAACGAAAGGAAAACCATGACGTGACATCCGGTTAATTGGAGTAGGCGAACTGCAATTAAAAGAAGCTCCTACCTCTATTGTTGCAGCGGGAAACTATTTCAGCGTTTTATTTAGGAAACAAAATAGTTCGTTGATGGAAGTTGTTTGGATGTTTTGAATCCTTATCAACACAATACGTAATTGGCTGGCTCTGAATTACCGTTCATCTTAGCAGAATGCCCTAAAAACAATCCTAAAAATCGATTTGAAATCAGGTCAGAGTCATAGTTAGTCAACGTTTCACTGACATCATAATTGTGATGCAGCGTGGTGGAATCAGGCTCTGGTCAATTTTTGGGCATGTAGAGTTATTGGTATCATCGTAAAGCTTGGTCATTTGTCTTTATTTGGATGAAAACAATATCCATTTATCTTGAATACAAGTCGAGATATTTGCAGATGAAGGGGGTGGGGGTCACCTGTTTTCAGAGGTAAGATTAGTGAGAAAATGGCCGCCAAAGAATAGTTATTTCCTTAGTTTTAAGAGTCCGTGGTAACTGAAAATGTACATCTTTTGTGCAATTAATCAACGTTTTTCAGAAAAATCCACACAGAAATGAGTTCTTTAGTGGGCATGAAAGGTGTTGAGCTTAAAAAAAAAAAGTTTTTAAAAAATTCACAAACCAACAGAATAAAGCAAGTTTCTTCGCTTTGATTATTTTGACGAGAGCCTGATTCCACTACGCTGCCTCACAATTGCCTAAGTTTATTCAGATGCTTTTAAGGACCAGTGGGCTAACCAAGATTTCGAGGGTTTCCAGAAATCTTGACCTACACCAAAAGTGGACATTGCAGTAACTCTAGGAGAAGTTTGGTTTCATTGGTTGGTATATTTGTTTGGTTATAGAGAAAACTCTTCTTGTCTTTTAAAGAAACTGAACAAGGGTCCAAAAACGTTACCTTCGATTTGCTCGAAACATTTTTCCTGATAGCCCGCTTGTGTTCAAAAGTGATCTTGTTTGTTCCAACATTCGTCTTATCGCCTCCAAAACTAGCAAAGGTGCTCTTGGAACACACAAAACAAATTCAGACTAGGCTACTGGATCCGACACAGCCAGCGCCTCCCCCACCCCCAATCCCAAACCAGGCCTTCTGAAGCAAACACGTTATTTTTAAAGTAGATGACAAAGAGTAGCAGCAAAATTGACAAAAAGGCACAAGGTTTACGCTCGCACACGGGTTCTATTTATTGAATAAATCTTTGACTTTAATTAAGTTGAAATATTTCTTGCTAAACAGAACATAGATATATAGATAGAATGATAGAATGA